TTGTTGTCAGTATTTTACTGGAGTAGAATCGAAAGATTCGTTCCCCGAGTCGTATCGCAAGGAAGGTTAGCCGGATATTCTTGTGCGTTTATTCAGTCACGAAAAAGAGAAAACAAATTCTTAAACATTCAAATTCAATAGTTTGAGGTTTTCAATTATCAACTAAGGATTCCAAACTAAATTAAACGCAATTTAAATGGCAAACAAATTCACTTAATGATTAAAGTACTAGGGAATCGGGGATAATTGCTTTCGGTTCTAACACAATTACCGACAATCAATTGCTCGGTTAAAAGACTCGAATCATTTCTCGTGTAGAGGTTCACTCTCAACAACTCTTCGTAACAAGAGAGTGAATGTGAACGATCAATTATCAGTTCCAACAACACATAGACAATATGTTTCTGAACAAGTCTATTCTTAACGAGCCTAAATCGACCAACGTCTCCCCTCTCGGTTCTACACGTTGATTATCTAGGTTAGAATGGTGATCAATCAACTAACCCTGTAATTCACACAACTTGAATAGAACAATCAAAAGCATTCAATTATAACGAACCAAATCAACCATCCCCTATCCCTAGCGAATAGATTTAGCTACTTATAACAAATTCGACATCCAAACTCATATCAACCCAAGCCATCATTATCAATAAAACAATTGAGAAAAAGAACTTACGATTAATATAGAATCCCAATGTTAAATCCAAGAGCATCCAAATCCAAGCAAGGAAAAGGAGTTTTTCAATCTCCAAATTGAATCCAAAGTGCAAAAGTAATGAAAGGAATAAGAGAAAAAGCATAAAACATAAGTCTGAAAGTGAATAATCAGCCCTAGGACCGAAATCTGATGTTAAAAACCCGCATCTCGAAATTCGCGTCAATAAGTCGCGAGTCGCGACTTTCAAGTAACCTCGAGTCGCGAGTCGCGCGTTGTCAAGATCTTCAATTGCAGGGGTTTAGTCGCAACATCACTCGCGAGTCGCGACTCGTGCTCGCGTACTTCCCCTTAAGCCTCTGTTTTTTTCACGGGTCGCAACATGTTCGCGAGTCGCGACCCAAGTCACGATTTGCGAGAAACGGCTGGGGCAGTTTTCAGTCCTTCCTTCAGTTCTCGTCGTCATTTTCTGGGCTCGGCCACGGGAATTCTCGATATCACGGTCTCGGCTCAAGTAGTCCCAACCTCGACCAGCACAACCTACCTTCTGAAAACACAAAAACAAGGAAAAACACGAAGCAAAACACAGCAAAAAGACACGCAAATAGAAACTAAAGAGAAAAACACAAAACGAACAAAATGGACCAAATAAGCTACGAAAATCCTACAAGTGGGAAAAAACAAAAAGAAAATAAACATGAAATAAAGACACAAAATTGGGACAAACACACTTGCCGCATCGTTGCAATATCGCCAACTTAAACCTCACCGACAAGGTTCTGAAAAACTAATGATCTGTCCATCCACTCTGGTCACTTGTCCCTACAAGTATAAGATCAAAAAATTCAAAAAATTAAACAACACAATCTATTATGTACATGAAGTGTACTAAAAAGTAAAACAGAAACCAGAAACTTGAACCTTAAATTATAAATATATTTCATTATATCATATTTTGTCATTATATGTATATGCATATGTAAAAATGTAAGTTTAGATAAATTCTATAAATTTATCAATCTCGCAATTATACATGACTCTAACACCTCGAATGTGTACCAAAAAATGTGGATACTGACGACCGTAATCGGCTCTCCAGAAGTATCTGCCGCTCTTATCTCACAGGCACAGAGAAGTCCATGAGTGAATCTCAGTGCACAGCTTCAGCGCAAGTAAACCTCACCGCTCAATTGTCGCATCCACTCAAGCTCATTATTCAATAAATTTGGACAGTGGTGCGAGACCCACAGTGCCAATTATGCAAATGGGAATCCCCTATACTGCACAACCCTCTTAAGTCTTGAAGACTCCAGCGTGTACCTGATAATACATTACATAACATTAGACCCAATGAAATTCATAATTAATGCAGTAATAAAACAATAAATATGTGTAGCTTAAAAATTGTACCTAACTTGAGTCAGTTGAGACTCAATCTCCTTATCAACCCTCTTCCACACTCTATCGAGTGAACCGGTCGAGGTGTTAAGCAACTGTTTTAACACAACATGGGCACTCTCCACCCTACACGAGGTTGTGTTACCAAAATGCGTTACCGAATTCGTTCACGCTTTGACAAACTTTTCCTTGTGGACTGATCATGTATGCTCCACATATTGTAACACTTTCCAAAACATCGCGTACCGAACATACAGTTCACCTACGGTAGTGTTGTATTGATCCGTCGTACCCGCTTCGACAACTTCTTTCATCTGTCGTGCGCTAATTTCTGAGCGAAGTCCTTATTTTTTCCAAGGAGTCGATAGACTCTGTCTTCCACATCTTTGTTGATGTGCCACGTGCAAAGTAAGTGGGAAGATTCTAGAAAATTCCTCCGAATAGGAGTCATTATACCTAACTCCCTATCAGTGACAATAGCATTAGGATGTACATCAGACACTATCACATGTCTCAACTTTTGTAGAACTCAGTCATAGCTGTACTCTCTCTCGTCCCTGATAATTGCATATGGAATTAAGAAGTTCTTGTCGCACGGCTTCGTCCTAACAGTTTCACCAACGACATCTGGTACCTGTGCAAATGAGAGCAACAAGATAGAATCAAAAACTTACTCAGGCATACTAATAAATATTTATACTATTTTTTTTTTATTTATAAAGTAACATATCTATTAGTTTGTACGTTGAATCTATACTGATATACCAGTAATATGTACAGAATTGACTGACTGCTTGAGGATGCGATATGAACAGATGTGTCAATGCCTGTGTCTCCTCATCAACAACTGTATAAACTATATAATTGCTCTCCAAAGCCAAATGCAGAATCTGGTTAGTCACATATCTACCCTCAAAACTATTTCTCTGTAGTTGATCTCTATAGCTATACACATGTCGCAGAGTAGCGTTGTCTACCGGGTTTTTTTTCCTGGATCGCAGCCAAAATTACTGTCGGTTTTGCTTGAGCAGCAGTCATATCACGGACAATATCGTTAGATGAATCGCTAAGTCCGCTCATCTGTCGACGACCCTTAGGATATACTGCCAATGCATGATCCCTACGACCATCATTAATTGGACGGATCTTACAAGTTATAGATCGTGCCACCTGTTGGATTGCTATCTGAAACAGACATTTGCACGCTTTAGTCTTTGAACACTAGCAGCAGCTTGATCTAAATCTCATCTACTGTCTCTATAACGTTCACCTCGCGAACACCTCAATACCTTTATCCTTCCTTCTTTTTTGTGTGAAGAAATGACGAGCTCAAAAATTACGCCTCGTCTCTCTTATATCAATATCGAGAAATTGCACCATATACTATATATATATATATATATAAAAGTTTGATTATTTTTTAAATAGGAACTATTTCCCTCCAAAAAAAGTAGTTATTATTTCGGGAAATTAATTTAATAATTTATGGTATATTTTAAATGATCACATATGGAAATTGTGGCTCATTATTTGAGGAAGTAATTAAGCTATATTTTAAGACACCTTAATTAGTCAAATCATGTGAATGAATTAATATATGATATATAGTGGATGAATTTATTTTTGATATTGATGGTTGTTTCTATGGAAAATAAATTAATCAATATATGATATAGCTAATTTGTTTAGGTTATTTTATAACTTTTTTTTGGTAGGAAATTTGTTGAAAAATTAATCAATATATGACCTAATATTTTGATATAATGTGCGTGTATCTATATTTCTTTTATAGAAAAAAACTCTGGTTAATTTTTTTGTTTCGATATTTCAAATAATTTTTGTTTGAAATGCACTGTTCATTTTTTTAGCATAATAAAGAGTGTCAATTGTTTTTGGCATAAAAAATCTTATGACTGATTGTTTTTACTCAACTACTTAAATTTTTTTTATTTGGATAATTTATACAAAATAAATTCATTTTAATTAATTAAACAATATAAGTTTTATGAGAAAATTTTACCAAAAGAATTACTTTATGGAATCACGCTATAGCCAAATCGAATTTGTGAATAAAAAATTTGTAATGACACATATTTTAAAATGAATATAATGTAATTTATTATCAGTTATGTGCAACGGATGGGATGCGTACTAATTTTAAATAGACATTTTTAAGTAATTTTACACAATTTAAATTTTATATAACATTTTCAATAAATTATATAGGTACATTGTATTACACGTTGATTCCATGTTTCTAATTATTAAATATTATTTAATGAGAATTTTTAATTTATAAATATTAATTAATATCTCTTACCCGTGCATCGCACATGATTCGTACTAGTATTAGGTCAAAATAAAATACAAAAGAATTTTAAAATTTTTAAAGTCATTAGAAATAATGAATGATTACGAATTCCTGTTTATATTAATACTTCCTTCCGCATATAAGACTGAATATAGTTCAGTTCAGGGGATCAATTTCTCGGACACAAACTTAATGATCGAATAAAGTGTTACATTCAAATTTCGATATTTACAAACAATCTGAATTTCTAGTCATGGGGCACATCATCTTATTTCCCACCCCCGACCAATTAATTGGTTGATTTTTGAAAACAAAATTCAAATTGAATGCCAAAACGTGAATTGCTACCTTAATTATCAAATGAATCCAATTTTCTGGCGGCGTACGGAACTCGTTTGTTTTTTGTTTTGTTTCCTTTTCTTTTATTTTATTTTTCAATGGGATTTTAGCAGAAAATGATTCACTTAAAATTACTCATGTCTCTCGCATTATTTGCAAAATAACTAATGAGTTTAGCCCAACTTAGAGGTTCAAAATTAGGCCATGAACCATTTTTTCTGCTGTCAGATGTCGAAGAAAGTAATGTTAAAATTGGTTTTTGCTTCAAACGGAAATTTGATCACATTTGGTCTCTCAGCAGTCCATCACCTCGTCTCTGTGTTGTAGCATCTCATATTTTAATAATTAACCTGTTAAATAACACTATCCCTTTGCCACTCATCTATATATAAATACCGCTGATTTCTTCAGCTGCATGCACAACACAAAATCTCTTATACTACAGCCACAAAACACCTTTACCTTTATTGCATGATTAAAGTGTTCGAGATGGCTAAATCCACAATATTACTAGTGATCGCTCTACTTGCTCTCTTGTCCTTACATGTCGATGCATATGACGCTGAACCTTTACAAGACTTTTGTGTTGCGGTCGATGACTCCAAGGCTGCTGGTACTAGGAATTGTTTTTAGTTTTTCATAATATGTGTCTGTTTGTTTTGCAAGAATGCGTTTAAGCTACTTTATAATCTAGAATGGCTGGCTAAGGTTTTGATCCATAATAACATATTTATATTTAATTAGTGTGTGTATTCATTTGAGATTTCTAAAGACTTTTTAAGACTTAAAAAATCTTGGTGTATTTTAGATTTTTTTAATACTTTTAAAAGTCTTGAGGTATTGACTTGAGATTTAAAAAGTCTTACAATTTCACCTCCAAACTTATAATTTCAGAGATTCCTCTTAAATCTGAAAATCTTAAAAAGCCTAAAACCTCAAAATGTCACTTAAAATCCCAAACAAATACACACCTTAATTAGACCGAAAACAAAATTCGATGTAGCACAATTAATTAATGATTTATAACATCTGGATTCGATTCGACACGTGCAGTGTACGTGAACGGGAAGATCTGCAAGGATCCAAACACTGTGACCTCGGACGACTTCTTCTTCTCGGGCCTCAACAAGCCCGGAAACATAGCAAGCCCATTTGGGTCCAAAGTGACTCTCGTTTTTGTAGACGAGCTCCCGGGGCTCAACACGCTCGGAATTTCCATGGTTCGCATTGACTTTGGCCCGGGGGGCACAAACCCGCCACACGTGCATCCACATGCTTCGGAAATCTTACTTGTGCTTGAAGGCACATTATATGCAGGCTTCATATCATCCAACCCCACAAACCCGAACGACGAAAACAAGCTGTACACGAAGATCCTGCAGGCAGGAGATGTGTTTTTGTTCCCTAAGGGACTCATACATTTCCAGTACAACCTTGGGAGCACTAATGCAGTTGCTATAGCGAGTTTGAGCAGCCAAAACCCGGGAGTCGTGACTTTGTCCAAGGCTGTGTTTGGGTCAGAACCCTCTGTTTTGCCGGACCTTCTCACAAAATCTTTCCAGCTCGATAGTAAAGCAATCAGCCGTCTTCAGTCATTGCCGTGGGTTGGGAACGACTAGTCACTATCACTTTTGATTTGAAGCTCTATCGGGTCCGGTGATAAGCATTTACGTTGTATGAATAAAGTCAGTTTAGTTTTGGACTGACGATGATGCCTTATGTGCACTTTATGTTGTTGTCTCGTGTCATTTGGTTTCTTGTATGTTGTATTGAGTTTTAGTACATCTGGAACTCAGTTGGTGTTTTATTTATTAGTTGCAATTAGTATACAGTTTGATTAATTGTGCGAGCCATTTGCTATGCTTAAATGTTTTAATATTTAATAAATTGAAAGTTATTGTAAAAAGAAAGACACACATTAGTCTACAATGTGGAACCAGTAAAAAGGACAAACTTATGTAGTTTGTGTGGTTTGTAAATATTAAGAAGATAGGCTTAAAGAGAATGAAGAAAACAAAAACAAAATCAAAGTTGAGGCACGTAATAGTTATGTTCTCCTAAAGACGAAATTGCCCGGTAAAATACCCATAGTTAACGCCACACGCACCCAAAATACAACGATTTTTGACTTGTATATAGCGGTACTTCAAATATACAAGACTTCGACGAACAATATTATTGCTTGGAACTCTCAAGACTCAACGAAAAAATCAAAGAACACAATATGTTATATGATCTTTGAGAAATAATGCAAGAGCTCTCTAATTTTCAAGTTATGAATGATTTCATGTATGTGAGTATTTATATATGAAGGAAAACACCTCCAAGAGGTTTAAGTGTCGAAAGGCACCTTTTGGGATATACCCGAACAAGAACGGACGTATCTAGACGTCAAAAGACACTTTATAGTCACCAAGAAGTGTCGCTTCGCCTCCGTCTACCGCCGCCGCGTCGCCTCTCCTCCGTTGCTAACATTTAAATATATGTTCTCAGTAAGATATTGATTCTCATAAATAATCATTCTATATGATCATAATATAAGCCATAAACTATAATAATGACTTCATAATAATAACATATGACTAAGAGCATCATACTATAATAGAATTCAACTTCTTCTTATCTAAAATATTTTGACAAATGATATGCTTCTCAATATTGTCTTATTGTTTTGTTTTGTTATTGTTGAAGATTTAAGAAATGATCTTTACTTGAATTACTGAAACATTATGTGTGATGCAAAAAGTTGGACATTAAATGCATTAAATATATTATTAGAAATATAAATATTACAACTTCGAACGAATGTAAAAGATATTATCAAGGTTGTCAAAATCGGACCGGACCGGCCGGTCCGACCGGTTGAACCGGGAACCGGCCAGTTCACCGGTCCGGTTCAATGGAAGAAACCGGTTGTCAGTAAAACCGATAAAAACCGGTCGAACTGGTCAAAATCGGACAAAACCGGCCGAAAATCGGTCAGTTCAACTGGTCAAATAATTTAATTTATTTATTTTTTGTGGTTACCGATGTGGGACAAGATGTAAGAATTCCAAATTTTCAATTGTAAAGGTAAAGCCACGCATGGAAGGAATTTCTTTTCCCTTTTACCTGTGCATGGAAGGAATTTCTTTTCCCATATCCCATATTTATTTTCTATTATTTTATTGGCCAATGTGGGAGTGTGAGGAAATATTTTTTTTTTTTCATATTTTTGTACTATCATTTTTATTGCTTTATATATATATATATATATATATATATTAATAAATTAAATAACGGTTCAACCGCTTCAACCACTGGTCGGACCAGTGAACCATTGAACCAGTAGCTTGACCGGTCCGCTTTTGACAATCTTGGATATAATGATAGACAACTTTAAAATCATTGCAACAACCAAAATGATCAATCATTTGTAAATAATAGATTATGTAGTTCATCTATCTTCCAAACAAATAACATTGAAAAAAAAATGTTGAATTCTAATGAAAACATTTTTGAATGTTTGAATAAGTTGTCACTATTTTATAAGAATATTTACAATCTTAATTGTGAATTGTGCTCGATTATATGCGCAATTACTTTAGAGTATGCGCTTTCATGTAATGTGTGTTGATTTCCAAAAATAATATTTAGTGTCTCGAGTGAATTACATGATTTTGGAAAGTAAATTTTAATTTAGAGATGACGTTCCCACCCATGGAGTAGGTACAATTTCTCTATACGGGGAGAGAGCGTAACGTGGTAGTTTATACAATGACTAAAAAAGATATCAAGAGTTTTAATGACACAATTGGTTATTTCACAGAGATATTAATGAACTGTTAATCGAAATACCTTATAATGATCATACAATCATGAAGTTTGACTATATTTAAAGCAGACATTTACCAAATTAACTACGAAGAATTTTGCAATACTATTGATATATTGGGTAACAACGAATATGAATGTTTATGGGTCAAAATCTTTTTCACTCTGTTATATATCTATTCTTTCTTTTACACACCACCCCGTCAAATAACTTCTTTTACACCCAAAAATTCACGAAATGCTATGCGATATTACACTCGCATATCTAAATGAACCAGCGCATATCCAACCGACGCATAAGAAAACATTTCGCATATTTAGGGATCGCATATCCAAACCAAACGCATAATTTACAAATATGCGAACATCTTTCGCCATTTTAAGAATCGCATATCCAAATCGAATGCAGAATAATTTACGATGATTTTGTGCCTTCTTTTCTCAGGGCTATATCGACCTTGCAAATTTATGACTATGCGAAATGTTTCACATATAATTCGCATAATTTGTTGACTTCGCATTTTTTAGTATTTGCATATCCAAGTCAATCGCATAATTTACTAATATGCGGAAAACTTTCGCATATATCCAGTATAACGCCGGATAATTGACAATTATGCGACATTTTTTCCCTCGCATATTTAAGAATTGCATAACCAAATAGAATAAAGCATAAGTTATTTGACGATTATGCGCCATTTTTTCGCAGGGCCATATCGACCTTCCAATTTTACGACCATTCGGAATTTTTTCGCATATCTGTCGCATAAGTTACGCACCTCATTAAATTGACTGCTTTTTCACATGTGAGGATTTTGTCTCTGCATTTAATTATCATGCAGGCAAAAAAGCAGTGATCTCTAACAATTTAACGTCTGCACTCTGCACCATTCATCTACTGCATTTTTTTGTTTCTTTCGTTTTAATTGTTTTTGTTGTTCACTTATTTGAATGGCTAGCAACCGTGTTAAAGTATTCATGCACTATGGTGGCTCGTTTTCGGGGGGTTCATATCTTGGTGGAGTGGCAGAGCTGATGAAAATACATTACGGCCGACAAATGTATTCTCAAGTAGTTTCTCATGCTCAAGCATTATTAAAGGTCAATCCTTGTAATTTTGAGTACATATTGTGGGCAGTATTTGATGTAAGGGAACGAGCTGTGAAGATGAAGATTGAATCCAGTGACGATATCTTAGAGCTGATTGAAGAACAAGGAAATCCCAACATGTACCTGGAGTTGGAGAAGCGAGTAAATGTAGAGATTCCGGGGACGGCGCAACAAAGCTTCATGCAAATGATGGCGTCCCAAGGTGTATTTCCTAGTTCTTTTGGTGTTGGTAGTTCTGCATTTTCCCACGAGGCCCCATATTCATATCAAGCAGGCCCTAGTTCATTTACACATACTGGATATCCTCGGGGCGCTGATGAAGGATCATCATGTCGAGTACGACGTCAGCAGATGTGCTCTCAGAGCGGGGTCACCGGGTATAACAGTGCAAGAACAACATCGAGACGCCCGAGGAGATGTCGTACTTGTAAAGAAACAGGTCACAAATCGTCATCTTGTCCACACGTCCATTCCATGACAGTTTAGATGAAGATGGAGACGTTATGTAATGTTATGTACCTCATTGGAGTTTTTAATTGGTAAAGCAATTTAACGGAAAAAGTACTTTTAATGGGAAAAATACTGTGTTGGTACCCTAAGTTGTGACCTGCACACACACGATTGACTAACAGAAAGTAGTGAAACTGGGTTGATTGCGCGATCCGCATAACATGTCCCATAATAATCGCACGATTGGGTTGATTGTGCGATTCCCATATCATGTCCCATAATAATCGTACAACTGGGTTGATTCGCAGGTTCATTCACCTAGTCTTCAACGGGCATAATTAACGAATCGTATATCCAAATCGAAAGCCGCATAATTTGCGACTATCCGCCATTTTTTTCGCATATCCATGTGGACCGCATTGCCGCATTGATTGATTGTCTGCACCGCATATCCAAATCAAAAGTTCTTCGCATATTATTCGCATAAGTTACGCACCACATTGATTGATTGCCTGCTCTTACACGTAAAAAACTGTGACGATTTGCATGCTTCCTCATTTAGTTGTCGAGTTGATGTATATCTACCTAGCTTTAAATGCTATCTGTAAATATTAACCTTTCATTCTCTTTGTTGAATAATTAACCTTTTACTTCTAAAAACCCTAGCCAAAAAAAGAAAAAAAAACCAAGGAGGCGTACGTTTGCGAAAAAAAAGAATGGAAACGATTTCACCCTATGAAAAGATCGCGATCCGCTTCCGTGGCGTGGGTTGAACAGAGGATGAGGAAGATATTTGCTACCGATTGTTTTTCAAAAAGTGCCTCAGAAGACAGACATACACCAAGGCCATGTGTTCATTTCCTTGTGGACAGAAATTTCAAGTTTACTGAACCAAACGCTGAGTTATGCATTGAAGAGGGAGTATACTATTGCCCAAGTCCGGCGAAAGATTCAGCGGCTCAGAAATTATTTAGATGAATTTTCTGTTGTCCTGAGGATTCCAGGCGTCCTCTTGCGTCCTGATTCAGGCTTTGTAGAGGTTAACCACATGTACTGGGTGCATGTGCAGGATGAAGTAAATTTCATTTGATTTTTTATTTTAGTTTGTTCAAGCATGCATTTTTGTGACGCGGCCATAATAACCTAAAAATATTCAAATTTATTACACAGGAGATCGACGCTCAGGCATTTTTCTGTTCGGAAGGATTCCCTTGGTATCGTGAGTGTTACGAGGTTTTTACCGAGCGCAACGCAGCGGCTATCGACTTGGAGGGCGGGCCTGGTGCTTCGGTTG